TGAGCTTTTTCATTGTTGCTCCATAAGCAAACATCGTCCACATATACACCACAGGCCATAAGTTTGGATACCCCTATGAAACGTTTGTTTTTACGTTTTTTGAACATTTTCACTTGAAATTTAGTATTGGATATGAAAATATATCGAAATTCTGACCGAATGGAAGTTTTGGAAGATAACATTTGGCCGGCCTATGGCCATCTTTTGGCCTTTGAGCTGTGGGAGCCAAAATCGAAGTCTTAAACGGGCCATCTTATTAAAAAGTTATATACGCCATTAGAAAGGTCTTGAAAAGTAGATGTGATTTTTGGTATTAAACATCAAAATCGGCCGGCGTTTGGCCAAGATATGGCCGTTTGTAATTTTTGGCCGAAATCTTCAATCAGCCATATCTTGGCCAAAAGCTGGCCGATTTTGATGTTTAATACCAAAAATGATACGTACTCTCCGAGTCCTTTCCAACGACGTATAGCATGTTGAAATTGGACAAGCGGTTTGAAATTTAAAAATTTTGGGCCAAATTCATTCATAGGTGTATCCAAACTTATGGCCTGTGGTGTATGTGTATAAAAAAACACCTAGTAAAGAGATTTTGAAACTTCTTGCTGTATTATGCCAAGAATATATAAACCTTTTACATTCTAAAGAGAAATGTTGATTTCTTGAGAAAAAAAATTGAATTTTTGGACGCTGGGATCCGTGCGGACCCCGCTTGGCCGTCCGAGGGTTAATGAGCATTCTCATTTTAATTCTCATTGCACTTGCCTCCAATTTCTTAAGCGTGTCCGTATATTCGGATGGCAAAATATGATTAATTGCAGAAACCCCCTGCCCAATTTTGATATAGAGCCCACCGTTTGCTAGACATCCATTCAGTAGTCGATTGGCACTACGCAAGTGTATTTTCTTTAGAATCTAGAAAAGAGATTATTAGTTGCATCATTAAATTCTCCCAAAAATAATTTGATTCTGTCGTACTTGTTCATATTCCTCGCTTTCATCAGTTAACCCATATAAATGCCAAGAATAGTCAATGGAAATCAATGCAGCAATTTTTAACGAGCGTAAGAATCGTGAAACTCCGCCATAAACCTGAAACTCATTATATCCGTCATATGCAATGGCTCCAGCAGTGACACCAAGGAATGTTCCTTTGACAAAACGCTTTAAGTTAAATTGTGACTTGCTTTTATTCAGATTCCGGCCGACTACAAAGTTGCGAACAATCAATCTCGAAAATAGTTTCTTGTCAACCAGTTGTCTTTTTAAAATCGCTAATGACAACATTTTTCGTTCTCACTTTAAAAATAATTGACCTACAAAATCATGCAAACTGAACAAATGCAAACGAATGTCAATGTCAATGTCAACAACGGAGTATCTATGTACGTAAGCGTATTTTGCGTACTCACTACTTTACTTTGATTTTTGATATTCAGTAGTTCACACAAGGGTGAACTTTTTAAATTTATTTTTTTTTCTTTCAAAAAGGCAAGCATGTTTTCCGACGATTCTGCAGAATCATGTTTATCTTTTTAATGTATCAAGAGCTTTCGTTGAGAGAAAATCATTACCGTTAAGTATTTTTTCGATCGACTCACTTTTTAGATTTTCGCATTATCAACCAGTGATTTCTGACGCCTTTCGATGGTGTTTTACAAAACGATCTATTTTTTACTTTGATGGTGATCGAAAATGAAATTTGTTCACTATAAGAAAATCCAATTCCAATTACGTCGAATCAAAATGTTCTTTGTTGTTTTGCAAATAAAAAATGGCTACTATACAGTGGTGTGTTCATTAAACGTTTGTTCGCCACAATTGTCGTCGATGAAAAGAATACATGCACACTGTCAACAATGACGCGTCGAATTTAGCGCTGCGATTTTATGAGTGCAAATCGATGGTCACTTCATACACAGTCTCCAAAAAAACGTTTTGTACGAAACAAAACGGAAATGTATGTCAATGTATGCTTGTATCCAATGCAATTAAATCATTTTACCAATCACATTTATTTAGAGATTTTGCTTTTTTTCTGCAGTCCAGATTTTTCGATTCATTTTTTTTGTTCAGGGAATTAGTTTGACTGATTTTTTTACTGAGTATAATTTGCTTTCTGTCGTTTGTGACAAAGTGACGTGAGCATGTTAATGACAGAGAATATTCAAATGTTTGGAGAGTATGCGAAGTGTGTGTGCGAGAGTTTGTGAGTGTGGTAGAAAGAGTAAGAACTTATGCACGTCTCAGCGTAGTATTGTGAACATTCATTGGTCAACGAATATTTTGCTTCGAAACTAACGAATAAAATTTCGTTTTTTTTTCTCACTCTTTTACTTGAAACTTTTTTTTCCCATCTCTTATTCATTGATATGAATTTTTATGAAGAAAAAAAAAAATTCCTACGCTCATTTCAATAAATATTTAATATTCATTACTAATCTCATCGCTCTAAAGTGAGAAGTGAGTTTTTCATCAAGCCTTATAATTCGCTACAACAACTTCTGTACGAAATTGAGCATATATATCCACTTCAATGGTATATATTTGTTCGCCTTGCAGAGCATCGGTTGGACCGGCACTTGTGTGTCGCGTGACAGTGGAAGGAAAGTTTCAATCGAAATTAGTACGGAAGCAACACTACGGTGGTCGCACATTATGCCTAACCGCATATCAAAAAATACTTTACCAATATCTTTCGTGCCAATGTTTCGCACTCAAGGGTAGAGTGAAATATTTCCAATTCGAAAGCAATAACAACAACAATAAAGAAAAGAATCTTTTAATTCAATGAGTTGTGTGTCGCGAACGAGTGCTCATGGCTTTAAATCAATTTATGCATTTATGATTCGCGGTACGCATTCATTCATTTTCGTGCTCGTTACAAACGGCAATATAAATCCAATAGAACGAATGCAAAAGACGGAGAAGCAGAAATACAGAGAAAACTCTGCCATAATAATAATAAATATCCTTTTGCAAGCCAATGTTGTGGAATGGGCACACAAATTTGATCAAGATTTTCTCCTTCAGATTCATAAATTCATAATTCCTTTCATTCGTCGTCATCGTCGTCGTCGTTGCTGGGTTCTCAGCGACATTTCTGTTTCAACCGAATTGTTGGCCCAATGAAATGAAAAAAAATACACTCGAATGGGATGTGTGGTTGTTGTTGTTTATTTTTATGGCCATTTCTATATTAGTAATTGGATTTGTTATATCTTCCGCCTCTATATGGTGGATTCGATGTTAATAGCAGATTCGTTGTAAATGAATAAAAGAAATTCGAGCTATTGTTTGCATTGTATCTATTCCCATTGAGTCAGTCGCAGTGGGTTTTTCTTCTGTGCCAAAAAAAGCAACAACAACAACAACCAAGGAACTTTCGCTTTGCGCCCGCGTCGCGTATCAAAAATTATTTTGATATGCAAAATATTCAAAATTAACGCTGTGCGTATATTAGTTTATATGTAAAATATCCGTAAGTTATATTTACAACGAACCAGCCATTGAACATTTTGGAGCCGCACCAAAGGCACTCGACCGATTGGTCTTAAGAAAAACGTAAGATGCCCTGAAAATCGAAGTTTGCTTAGGAGCATCAAGACACTTCCCGATTGTGTTATCAACATGACAGATGAATACTTTAGCTCCCGAACATGCGTCAAATGTTTCGGCCGCTTTGATCCACGCACCAAAAATGATCGATCCAGGCTGTGCCAAGATTGTAAACCAAAACGGAATGCAATGCTTACATCAATGATCGTGACCAGGCGGAACAAACGGATGATGAGTTCGATGCGATTCCTGCAAGACGCTGAATATCCAAATACACCAAACGCAGGTAGTTTTCTCCAAAAGATCGTAATTGACCAGAAAAATTGGCAAGAAAACGTTGAGACCAGTGTATTGGAAAAAGTTGAGGCTGATAAACCGGATGATTAAGCACGCATTCATGACCATGCACGCATTCGCAAAACACCATGGCAACGTGATATTGTTGCTGCCAAATGCATCCCAATTAAAGGTAACATAAAACAAGACCGCAGATCGTCGCCTCGCTCCGCTCTGCGTTTTTGAAGCTTGTAAATTTAACGGGTTTAATTAATTTGATGTTCCTCATCAAATTATTATCGTAAGCACTACATGGAATGTAGTTTTAATCTTAAAAATTTGCATTTTTTTATTATACTAAGATTTTATTATAATCTTAGTATAATAAAAAAATGCAAATCATTCTAATATTGTCAAAAATAATCAAATAAATTTATATGATGATATTGATTTCTTCAATTATTGTTTTAATGTACGTTCAATGTGAATGGTCATCGTACATTATTTCACATTGGCAACGAAAAAGTGTCAATTTTTTTTTTGAGTTATCTCAAAATTGAATTACATGAACATGATTTTATTTCATTTTTGCAATTAGGCGTAATTGCTTCATTTGAAATAAAAAATATGGATATTTAAATGAATTAGTTTACGGTCCTAAAAAATGGCCTAAATAGTCTTAAAAATTTCTCGGGAAAAAAATTACAACTACAGTAGCCCACATTCCATGTAGTGCTAAAAACCTAACTCAAAACCGTTCAAGTTATTTTTCATTGATGTGTATTATTTTTTCGGAAAAGGACACTGTGATTATTTTGGGGTACCGCTGCCTGAAACCTTACGTAGTCCACCACCACGACAACAACACACAGCAAACGAATAACATGGTCCATCCATGCCACCAGAGCCGCTTCATATCGAATTAATTGACAGTCTAAGAACAAAATAACAACTTCTGAACTCTTCGCCGATAAATGAAACGAAAAAAAACTTAGAGCAAAAAAGAAACAAATGAAGTTGAGAGCAAAAGTGACACAAGTGGGCATTGAGCGGAAAACACGTTTTTCTCATTTTTCTCGCTACTGGAAAAAGACAGCGACTAGGTGTCTTCGACTTATTTGTAGTTATTTTCATTTTCTACAATATTGCCGAAGACACCTAGTCGCTATCTTTTTCCAGTAGCGAGAAAAAGGAGGAAAACGTGTTTTCCGCTCAATGGCTACTTGTATCACTTTTGCTCGCAACTTCATTTGTTTCTTTTTTGCTCTAAGTTTTTTTTTCGTTTCATTTATCGGCAAAGAGTTCAGAAGTTTTTTTTTCATTCTATGGGTGTCAATTATCAAAAATTAAAATAATAACTGTTGTTAATTATCGCTGTAACCGTTTTGAGGTATAGTAGTTCGCGAATGTTATGTAGTAGTGAAACTGTTTTTCTAAACAGAACCGAGTGTATAAATAGATAGTCCAATAAATCAAAATATACGAAATGAAAAATATTAAACTTTATTCATTTTTTAATAAATTAGTTTGCATTTCATAACTTAGAGAAAGAGGAAGGAAACTATAAATTTAGTTAAACCCTTTATTAGAATGGTCTAGAGTAAGAACGACATTATGTGCGTTCAATTCTATCAACGGAATCATAAGTTGTTTTTGTTCTAGAGCATTCATTTGTTTGCTTTATGTAGCAGATACTGTGGTTTGAATCGCTTGAGAATAGTTCATCAAACCAACTATAGAGTTTAAAACTATTCGATTAGAAAAAGCAGCCAGCACAGAATGTCAGTTTTAATCTTAATAATAAATCGTGTATTTCGTTGGGCTAGGTCAACTAGGTCTTATCCAAATTCATATGCAGCACGCTATTTTTTACAACTCCACAGTTTTCAACAAAAATAATAAACAAACTGGCATTGATGATTCTTTTTATATCATTATGGTTGTTCGAATCCAAGAAAATTCATCTTGACGTGTTTTATAGGAAAATGGTGAAGTAGGCCCAAATTCTACAAAAAACATTATCAGTGTTACTAGCATTGTTATTGAAATGTTTGAAGGTTATTTGAAATATAAGCCATGCATGTAAATTTGAACCATTCCTTGAAAAAAACTTGAACGTTTTAGCGCGACCATATGGTTTTGTGATGATTATAAATTTACACACTATTTTCAGCTAATGTGCGTGAATACTAGAGCTCAGAGTTGTTTGACCTTAAACATGGGTTTAGTAAAAAATGTTCGATATTTTGTGATCATCGGGTTTAATAGTTTAACTCGCAATTAAAAATTCAATTGTACAAATGTTATCGGCTTCGACTTAAATTAACAATTGAAAATGATCTCAAATTCTTCGAACAGTTAAGTGTCTGGAATGCAGTTCGTTATGTTTTCATCTTTTGAAAATATCAAATTTTACAAAAATTTTGAGTCATTTCAATGAATATTGAAAATATGAACAAACTGTAAGTTTGTATATTTCTATGGGTGAGATTGAGAGTGGAGTATGTTTTTTCTTCGATTTATATATTTGAAAAGGCGAGTATGTTTTCTGATGATTCTGTTGGCGTTAAAGTAGAGTATGTTGTAGTACCGTCTAGCCTCCGCGGTCTTCATGGTTTTCACGCAACTGATAAGAGATAACAACATGGTGTCTTCGGCAAAGTTGTAGTACTTGAGGTCTTCTATAACTAAGCTGAAGACAGTTATCTCTTATCTCTTATCAGTTGCGCGCAAATCGCGCACATAAAAAAGCTAATTTTATATAGAACTTTTTTTTT